TATTTCATAGGCTTATGCTTTACAAAAAGAGAGTCAAACAGCTATGCAATAATGGCAGGGAATGATCAAGCTTTTGTTAGAGAGCTCATATTTTCAAACAGAGGCCTGCATGGCCAAGCGTGTCGACACCTTAACTGCCAATGTTTACACCTCTAGCTAGGCATGCATGCTATTTGGTTCTTTTTATTTTTTATTTTTTCTGCAATTATGTTTTATTTCTTTATAATCAGTATTCTGTTACATTAATTAGGTAATTTACCGTCTTTAAAAAATTATTACTTTATCCTAAAATGTAATGTAATTATCAACCACATTATTTTTGTTAACTACGTCAAGGTTTAGTTGCAATGAGTGTTCACAATCTTTACTCATTTTTACATTCATGTTACAATTTTTTTTTTCAAATTCGTATGATCAACTATTTATTGATTTGCACATCTCCTCTCCGATGAAATTTTTTATTGAAAATTTTGTTAGGTTGGAGCAAAAAGTCTTTTTTGACTCTCTTAATTTTAATTAACTAATTAATTTGAACGATAAATGCAAATGTTTGACAATTTTGTCCCTAATCTCAATGCACTTTAGCAAAATATTTTGACTAAAATATTGTCAAATACAAGATGCCCTATTTAATGAAGGTTAATGATTAAATACGATCAATTAGTTGATGAGTAAGCGCTCCATTGCAATTAAAAAGTTATGCAAATAATAAAACGTTAATAGGAATATTATTATTCAAAAAGTAATTAGTATGTCACTTGTTATATAATGATTTTTTTTTTTGGAAACTCTTAATAAGCTAAGCTCATAATAAAATTAGATCGAAATAAAATCAAATACAATCTTTTATAAACACATCAAGAAAGATCGTTTTAGAAATGAAATTAAGCCTACAAACATTAAATTAATTTCATTGCAATATAATTCAATACTGCATTTATTTCAAAAGATTTTAATCCCCAATAAACTCGTGCTTAATTTTATTTTTGTCTATATATATAGCTCAGTAGGGCTTCATCTTACCCAAGAAGAGATATTACACAGATTATACAATTAGTTTCACTAACACTAGAATGACTGCCTCCAAGTTGATTATTTTTGTCCTCTTGCTTGTTACAACAGGTTAAATTCCTTTCTCTGTCTCAATCCCCACATCCTTCCTTGTGTGTGTGTGTGTGTATATATATATTGGTTTGGACGAAGGTTCTAATATCTGGAAGTTTAGATAAATGTATGAGATACAAGCACATACAATTATATGTACATAACTATAGCTAGCTACCATGTTTTCATTCTTGACAGTGTCAGTAGAGTCTCAGG